GCGGCCATCAACAGGACTCAGAAATGGTACTAAGGAAATAAATTCACTTTTGTGTTTGAAAAACAGGTTTTGTCATAAAAGTACTTGCATATTTTTCTTTTTCTTTTTCCTTTTCTTTTTTTTTTCATACCACGGATTGAACCCAAGAGTGCTTAACCACTGAGCCACATCCCCAGCCCCTTTTTATTTTTTGAGACAGGGTCTTGCTAAGTTGTTTAGGGCCTCACTAAATTGCTGAGGCTGGCTTTGAACTGGTCATCCTCCTACATCAGCCTCCCAAGCCTCTGGGAATAAAGGCATGTGCCACTGTGCCTGGCGCTCTCTCTCTCTCTCTCTCTCTCTCTCTTTCTAATATATATATATATATATATATATATTTTTTTTTTCTCTCATTTCCAAACTCTGGAGGTAAAAGACAATTAAATCATTTTTAAAATCTTGAAATATAGTAAATGTGTCCTTTCACCCAATACCCCATGATGTGTCCCAAAACGTTAACCATTTTCTTCTGCGTCTTTTGCCTCTTCAGGGTCTCATTTTTCTGTTGCCCCTGAGGGTTCTTCCCACATGTTGTTTAACATTCTTCTCATTTTCTGTGTGGTCATAGATTCCCCTCTCTTTTTTTATTAGCTGTTAGTTAATAAAAGAGTAGTGGCCATGGTGGTAGTTGTTATCATAGCAAAGCAATATATGTTTATGGTTTTAATAGAGTTCAAAGCCAATCACGTTGGTGCATGTCTGGAATCTTAGCAACTTGGAAGGCTGAGACAGAAGGAACACAAGTTCGAGGCCAGTCTTCGGCAATTTAGTGATACCATCTTTCAAAATAAGAAGTAAAAAGGCTGGGGATGTGGCTCGGGTGGTAGAGCACCCTTGGATTCAATCCCCAGTACCACATGCAAAAAAAAATATTTAGAGTTCAAAAACATATACAAGAAAATTTTACTCCCTCAGACCTATAGGACCCTGGGGTTGTCTTCCCCTCAGTTTTGTATGTCATTTTTCCCRAAATATTGTATGCATAAATACAGTACGTATGATGCTGGGAATACAATAGTGGTCCTAAAGTCCACCTGATTTCTGACGTCATGAAGCTTGCAGTCTTCTCGGGCAGAGACACGGCTTCCTGTCTCCTCTCTAACWCAAATACAATGAACCCAGCTCAGCATTACTAGGCATACTGCTGGGCTCCAGGGCTTTCCCAAGGAACACTCTGCCTGGAGTCCTCCATGTTTTTGTTTATTTGATAGTGGGGATCGAACCCAGGGGCTCTTAACCACCCAGCCACCTCCTCAGCAATCCCCTTCTTTTTTTTTCAGACAGGGCTTTAGGCTTCGCTAAATTGCTGAGGCTGGCCTCAGACTGCCTCAGCCTCCTGAACTGCTTGGATTACAGGTGTGGGCCACTACGCCCAGCTCACATTTTGTTTTAATGGCTACCCAGCTCTGCATATTTAGGTGTCTGTACCCTGGTGGCTTTAACCCATCCCATGCTGATAGTCATTCTGATTATTACCACATTTTAGCTGTGACTAACAACACTGTCATGAGTAGTCCCTTAAATTCATCTTTTTTCATGTTTATATTTACCTATAGGATAAATTCCAAAGTCAAAACAGTGAACATCTGCTCTTTTTCACGACTGTTCTGCACTTGAAATCCTTTCCCATGTTTGGGGAAATGCGAATCTTGGTGAGAGGCAGGACCTACCTCCTTTCACAGAAAACACAAAATGGAGATGGTACACCTTCCTGCCCCACCCCCACCCCCCACACAGGGGCATGTGACTGGACTCGCCTGAAGCTGAATCTGGAACAAACGACCTGAAGAAGCAGGACACCGCAGAGCTCTGGCCAGCCAGGGCAGCAGCACCACCCCTGGCTGGTTCCCAAGACGTGCTTTCTGGCCACCCGTCAGCTGGCCTCCTGCCTGCTTGCTGAGGTCGGCCCCCCAGCCYTGCTAGCGAGTCTGGGAGCTCCTCCGTGTGTCTTCAGTCAGTCCCTCTTCTGCTTACGTCCSTCTGCCTTCGATTATGTGACTTTTGTGTAAGGGCCCTGATGGATTCTGTGGTGGTCAGCTCCAAGATGGCTCCCAGTGATTCATGCCAAGAACRCTGACCTAGGCAACCCGCAAGTGTGATTAAGGACACTGTGGCCTACGCGTTCCTCTCTCTTGTAGTGTCACCACTGTTGACCGGTGACGAGTCCTCGCTTCCCAGAATGCTGAAGTATGACACCAGAGAAGCCCGCGGAGGCCAGGGGAGAGTGGACGGTGGACGCTTTATTAAAGGACAGCAGAGAAGGCTTCTYYCYGGAGGGAGAAGGGGACCRCAAGGCAGAATCCGTGGAAGGGGGAGGTCTTCCCTTTTTCACAGCTAAGGTCACTTTTAGTCCTCCCACACTCCTGTCCTTTGTTGCCCTCTGTCCTGCAGTGATGGAATGCAGGTGGGAAGGCCCACA